TAAAGTTTGATAATTCCTCGACTCAAAAACATTGAGTTCTAAGTTAGAGATTGAGAGGATATTTTTAAAAGTGGTGTTTATGAATACAAAAATGCCCTTTTTGATGAGATAGAGCAAGAGTGGAAGTTAGAGTGTTGTTCATGCATACGGCTCATAATCAACATAATTATTAAGCACATTTGGATTGAATTGTAAAACAAACATAATAATTTAATTTTTGATTTAAGAGTTATTAATAATAACTTATTATGTTAAAGAATATAATTTTTATCATTTACTTCTATTTTAATGTAAAATAGAGAGTATAATAAACTCCTGACTCTATAAGTAATTTGTCTTCACTCAAAAAGCAATTTTAAGGAGTTTTCTAAATCTTGAAATCCCTCTATTATGAATTAATTTGTCAAGACCCGACCATTTCAAGATACAAGGTTTTCTGTATCTATTGTAAACTATATGTAAGATTCAAATTTTATTGTAATTTATTGTAAATTACGCCTGTAAGATATGTAAGTTACATTCTGAACAATCCTAGTAATTACAATACACTATAATAACTTATTATTATTAATAAGATATCACATTATCATTATTAATTGACAAATTAACATGGTCATTTATAAATCACGTCAAAGTAAATGCATCTCTTTCCTAACTCGTAAGTATTATATGTGTTATACAAAAATGTATAAAAATATGAATATATTTGTGATGAATGTGTAAATGCTGTAAATGTATGAAAAGTGATGTAATATTGAGATAGTATTGACAGCATTTGGGACAGCATTGGGCACAGCATTGGGTGGCATTGGATGTACAGTACAGACGGTATAATATGTCTGCAAAACTTTAAAACAAGTTCTAATAAATGTGATTATGATTTGCTTTCGGCCCCGAAATGTGTATAATTGAAGTATGCTTTGAGCCAATGATGGAGTGGGGGATCGAGTGATGTATGCAATGGTATAGGAATGGTGTGGAGGGGGAGGGCATTGAGTGGTGGAAAGGCTGAGTGAGTGCTGTTGTGGTGCCATAACTGTCCGAGTCTTGTGATCCAACGCTATTGTCTTCACTTAACTCTCGGCCAAACCATCACTGCATCACTTCCGGCCACTTCCACTATGATGTGACTCATTCACCACCACATGATAGCGACAACATTTGGACCATAGTGATAGACTGATAGTTCTAGTAAAAGTGATTGACCAAGGTGTAATAGGTGTGATCGTGCTTGACCATGGTGTTTGAGTTGTTTGGATCGGTGAAGCGATTGGTGAAGTTGGACTCGGTTTGCATTGACAACAATGTGTTTCGCCTGCATTATAAGGCAACCGTCATCTTCTTAGTGGCCTTTTCACTGCTCGTCACTTCCAACCAATACTTCGGGGATCCCATCGATTGTATTCAAAGGTTTGTCAACAACTTGACCATTGATTCACTCATTGACTCCATCACTGTCTTGTGATCCATAGGGACGACATTCCCACCAATTTGTTGGACACGTATTGCTGGTGAGTATATGAAGCTATGATTGTGTGAATTGTAGTAATGATGTGATGACTGACTATAGGATTCACTCGACGTTTACACTACCGGATGCTCTGAACAAGAAGGTAGGGGTGGAAGTGCCCCATCCGGGTATCGATAAGTACACCCCCGGAGAGAAACGAGTT